GGAGACATGGGCTTGTTTTTAGCTGAGGCAGAGCTGGGTTTGTTTTTAGCAGCTGGAATAGCGCTGTGTGTTGTTTTCAGTATTGGATTTGTTACAAGAAGAATGTTGATAACATACCAATGTTTTAAACTGTCACTGGAAGTCAAAGGGCTTTACTTTTTGCTAGTCTACAAGTGCAAGGTCTAGGAGGGTGTGAGAAATATTTAAATTAATAAGCTAAATTGGCATTTGGAGATGCCAGTGGGATATTTCATATCATATAATATCACGTTTGGTATATTAATGAGGGTCACTCTCTTAGAATCATAGAATCACAGAACGGTTTGGGTTGGAAGGGACCTTAAAGCTCACCCAGTCCCAACCCCCCTGCCAGCAGCAGGGACACCTTCCACTAGACCAGGTTGCTCAAAGCCTCATCCAACCTGGCCTTCAACACTTCCAGGGAGGAGCAGCCACAGCTTCTCTGGGCAACCTGTTCCAGTGTCTGACCACCCTCACAGTGAAGAACTTCTTCCTAATATCTCATCTAAACCTCCCCTCTTTCAGCTTAAACCCATTTCCCCTTGTTTTGTCATTAGTTGCCCTTATGAAAAGTCCCTCCCCAGCTTTCTTGTAGCCCCTTCAGGTACTGGGAGGCCGCTATAAGATCTCCCCGGAGCCTTCTCTTCCAGGCTTGTGGGGGTTCACTCTCTCTCTGGCTTTCGCTCGGGCTCTCTCTTTTTTGGGATTGGGTTTGGTTTTGGGATTGTCACTCCTCGGGGATCATTATCTGAGAATGGACCTGGCTTGGTTGGCAGGCAGTGAGCAATTGCACTGTGTATCACTTATTTGCATATTATTTTATTATCATTATTGGTTTTATTTGAAATTATTAAATTGTTCTTATCTCAAGCTACAAGTCTCCGTACCCCTCTAATTCTCCCCTCTATCCTCTGCGGGTGGGTGGGGGGAGTGAGTGAGTGGCTGTGTTTGGCTGCTAGCCCAGTGCTCTCCCAGTGAAACCAGTACAGCTGGGGAACGCTGTCCCTGATGGGGGATGGCCACGGGCCAGGCCAGGTACTCTGCGGGGAGATGAGGCCGGGGTGACCCGGTACAGACCCAGGCTGGTGCTCAGCTGGGGCCATCAGTGAGCCCAGGCTGTGCCGCAGGAGAGGCAGCGGCGCTGGTGCTGGTGGCCGTGCTGTGGGGCAGCACCGGGCCGTTCCTGCGGACGGGCGCAGCGGGGCTGGAGAAGGTGCAGTGCCAGGGCCGCCTGCAGCAGCTGCTGGCAGAGATCCGCTTCCTGGGCCTCAACTACAAGGTACAAACCTGTTCAGGCTCCCTAGCTGGGTGTCAAACTGTTCCTACCTGTTTACTTCTGGATACTTTTATTTAAACTGTCAAATATTCTATCTATCATCAGAATTACTTATCCTCAGCAATATTTCATTTACTTGCCTATAGCACTGCTCTTCCCATTCAGAATTGAGATTGCTTTTGTAGACAGCAGGTCATTAACCCTCATATTTTGCATGAAATAAGCACAATCTGCCTTCTGCAGATTGGGGAACTAAGGCGTTGAGCAGCTTTGGCAGCAGAATCGCCAGCGTCCCACATTTCCGCTGCCAAACATGGCACAGGGCGAGCAGGTCTGGGCTCACTCACTGCGGGGTGTGTGGTGGGTTTGTGAGCAGCAACTGACAGGCCTGTGTTCTTCCCGCAGTACATGGTGCCGTTTCTGCTCAATCAAGGTGGATCTCTCCTCTTCTATGTCACCCTGGCATCCGCAGGTGAGTTCTCATTGCTTTCATGGAGCAGGTTGATCAAGATTTTGGGAAGAGCAGTGTTATGGATTTAGTCTGGTGACCCAGCTAAACATCAACCAGCTCATGTAATAATCACCAATAAAACAAATGCCACATGATTTGTACAAGATCATCCATTTGTGGTGGTTTCACTAGCTCTGTCTCAGCTAAAAACCAAACAATATTTTAAACTGTTTGTGTTAAAACTGTTCCGTTTCAGACCTGTCCCTGGCAGTACCACTCTGTAACTCCTTGGCTTTGATAGTAACCCTGGTGACTGGGAGGATTCTGGGAGAGGACATTGGTGGTAAAAGTAAGTTACACTTAAAACATTTCCTCATGTTGTTTCCTGCATCTATTTGCTGACTTAATAGTGTGGGCTTCCCTCTGGTCTGCTGAGAAACAGCAAATACCCACAGAAGGGCTTTAACTAGTTAAGAGCTGAAAAGGAAGTGAAACAGACTTGAAAGTGGGCAGGGCTAGTAAATTTAAAGACAGAACAGGCTGTTCTAAGCTAAAAAGAGTTTATAGGCCTGAGACTTTATGTAACTAGATATTTAAGTGTAAGAGAAGCACTAAATCATAAGCCCACCATGGAAAAGGAATGCCCCATAAGCCTCCAAATGTCAACACTCATCCTTCTTTCCTTCCCTCACATCCTCCCAATAACATTAGAAAGTCAGAAAATGGCAGGAAACTTGAAAGCTTAAAAAACATCAGGACCTGGCACAATAACTGTAGAAAAAACACTGAGGTGGGGTTTTTTTTGGTCATTTAAGCACAGTTGTCACCAGCCAGCCATACAGAATCAGCAACATTTTCTTAGAACCATGCTTTGCCCCATGTAGACAGGCAGTCCAAACATCCAGACCCCTTCAGAACTCACCTGATCCAGGTTGTATCTGTCCAGACATTGATGCTGTCCTATTTACCATGACATCTGAGCAGCGTGTATTTAGCAATGAGAAGGTCTGACTGAATTATATAAGTTCTCAATATATTATTGTTCATTTCTACAGGGGCTGTGGCAGGGATGCTGCTCACTGTCCTAGGAGTCACGCTCTGCATAGCTGGTTCCTGAACGAGACACGGTGAGAAGCAGAGGAAGTGAAGCTGTTCAAAGGTAACCCCTGTGGCTGAAGGGGGGCTTCTGGCTCAGCAGCGGACCTCATTTGGACCTAGGAAGCTGTATTTTGGTACACAGATGTCAAAAACAAACCATGCAAACACTGACTGTATTCCCTGAGTGCTGGGGTGGAACAAGGCATGGGGCAAGGACATCTTATTTAATGTTTTGAATTCAGGAATTTTCTGTCTGTGGGTGTTCCAAGGGAAAGATGATTGAATTGTCTTGTTGGGCGCTGGAGGGATAATAAATGGTTAATAAATCTTTCAGTGGGAGCTTCTGGGACCAACTGGTTTTTGTGTAGAAGGAATCTTAGTTAGGAACTCTCCTTTTTTCATGGCCAAGCACGTGAAAGGAGCTTCCTTCACTGCACTCAGCTGCAACATACCCAGTCACACTGCACAGCCCCTTGCACTGAGGTTATCACATCACTTTTCTCCCCTGGAGTCTTGCAGAGTGCCTGTCTCTAGGGAAGGAAAGGTGTTTTTCTTTTCAGTGAAATTATCAGTGCAAAATAGCAGGTAGATCACAGAATCAAAACTCTTTGTTACCCTTGTAATTAATCAGGAACACATATAATAAATACAAAAGAAGGGTGGTACAAGAGCTGTTTATTACTATGACTTTTCCTAAATCAGGCAGATGCTCCTAAAACAAGTTAACAGAAACAAGATGTATATATTTTTTGTGAACAGGTTTGATTGCTGCAAACATTATCCAAGGATTCCAAATCAGAGGGACAGTGATGCAATTAAATCTCTGTAAGAAGTGTCTGACATAGAACAAACTTCCTGGCAGGTGTTTTGTTATAGGAGCATGTTTTCTATTTGGTTATTCTTCCTTCCCAAGTTCAGACACAAACCAGTTTAATTAGAGTTCAGAAAGCAGCCATCTCCTCTGCCCCATCCTCACACCACAGAGATGAGGAAAGGAAGAGGACTTTCATTATTTAAGGAGTTTGTGCATCTGATTCATTGTTCACTGGTACTCTGCTTCTCAAAGCCAGATGATGAGGGTGCTTGAATTGAGAAGAGTTTGTTAATTCATCCAAAAGCTTGGCCAGGCTGTGGTGTTACAGAGATGTATGATTCACATGCTTTTGCTATCAGCAGCTGTGCAGACAGCCAGGTATCTAATGGTCCCTCTACCTCCTGGTCCCTTTGTGAACTCTTCAGAGCGATTTGCTGCCAAGGGAAACATCGTTCAGTGCTTTTCATCCTCAGAGTCACTGGCATCCTTTTTCCTTGCCCCAGTCTTTTGTGATTTCTCTGTAGTCTGTGCCTTTTTGCAGTGAGAAAGAAATACAGTTATTCATGTAGCACTTTGCTATCACAGGAAGATTCTGGGATTAAATTCCTGCATTCCGCTTGCAGTCTCATCACTGTTTTGGAATGCAAACTTGGGTCTCTACATTAAATTCACAGGTAGCTGATTTAATGCCTAATGATTCTGTCCCACAGCAGAGGGGAGCTGTGACACTGAAATGAATGACGACTGTATAGCAGTGTGATCTGGGGGGGAAGCCAACGGAAATTAGCAGCATCAGAGTGCCCACCCCATCGAGAAATGCTGGCCCAGCCTCTAAAGCAAACACAGGACACCAGGCTCCCTCCCCCTTGAGCCAAGAAGTCAGGAACCATTAGGTAATTTTTTGCTAGGGCTTTTTCTAATTTAAGTTCAAAGGAGTTGTTTTCCTTTGAAGTTCTAATTAATCCAAAGAGACTACCTAGGCAGAACTGTGAATCACCTACAACAGAACACATTCATCCCATTACATCAGTTCTAAATGTCCTTATGAAAAGTTTAAAACATGGATAACTCATGAGCAATAAGTATCTTGCAGACACTTTTAACACAGTTTTTTAAGGACACCTTTTTTTTTCCCCTTTAAAAAAAAAGATTTAAACTTGTTACTGTCTAATAAATCCATTCAGTCCTTTTAGGAATTACATGTTTATTCTGTGCCAGCTTCTAAGCTTCACCTGGCTACAGGCAAGTTCTGCTTAACAAGTTATATTTGGGGGCACTGAATTACAGCATAAGAAATGTGAACACAGCCAGGAAGGATCTTACAGACTTCACAGAACCATTATGTGGAATAAATGCCTCACTGCAGTGTATGATTTTGGCTTTTGGTATAAATTCCTTTCACAACTTTCTGTAACAGGAGTAAGGATAGAAATAGTACACACACACAAAAAAAATGCAGGAAAGCCTTTGATATCCTTATTGCAGTGGGAAGCTGTAACTCTCACATTCCAGAAGGGAAATGTTCATTACCCAGATGACAACCTCTCTGCTTTCTAAAATGCAAAGCCCTGCAGTTACACACTGTCCTCTGGTTTCTCAAGTTCCCTCTGGTGGTTACTTTCATCTTTACACACTGTAGAAGAGAAGCGCAGTGCTTTGTAAAGCTAACGGACAGGACTTCAAACAAGTGAGAAAACTGAAGGGCTTTTTGCCAAGCAACTGCTACAAAATACTGATTAATTAATGTGTCTTCAGGCTGGCTCTGAAGGGCTGGCCTTGGATTCAGCCTCCCTGCTGTGCAAAACCTGTGGCACCGATAGATTCTGGTGGGACCATGAATATTCCCTGCAGCAGTGAGATTCCTAAAAGGACAGAAAATTATTTCTCATACCTGATCAATGGGTACATCCACCTTTGTGTGTTCATCCTCTTTTAAGTCCTGGGCACCTCGCAGCTCCCTCCTAGGATCTCTGGTTTTATAGATGCTTTCTTCTGCGAGGAGAAGAAAAGAAAGAAGCTGGAGCCATGGCCTGGTCTTGCTGAGGCTACAGAAAGGTCCTTGTGTGTGCCCAGATGAGGAACGAAGCAGAAATGCAGAAGTTACTGGATGTATCACTGCTTTCTTTCAGTGCATCTGCAGGCATTTTGTGCTTTAGCATCAAAGTAAAGCCACTCTTCCTCTACAGTGTCCTTTACCTTGATCAGGCCAGTGCTGCACATTCCTGTTGCTCCTCCTGTTTTGTCCTGCACGGACAGGTTTAACATGGAAAATGGACTCTTCCTCTTTGAGGTGAGATTTCCTGGCTTGCCTTTGCAGTTGTGGAAAAACAACTCGGATCTTGTCTTTCTCTGCAACTCCTCTGGTCTGCAGCCTGCGACTGTGCAGCTGAAAGTATTCATCACACACTTCTGATAGGGCTTCTTGACAAAACACTTTATAAAATAAGGGAAGTTTTACAGGGCAATCCCCTAAACACCACAACTTTCCCCTGTGACCCTTGATCCCAACTGGTACAAAGCTCTCTGCATGCTCTGACTGGGGTTTTAAGTTGATACTATAAGCAAAACAGATACAGGGAAACATAAAACACTTTTTGTGGTCACTACTACCTGTTGAGGTGGTTCAGCAAGAGCAGAGTCACCAGCTTTATCCTGAGAGGTGGCACAGAATTCACCCAACTGAAAACAAATTTAAAAAAGGAAAAAAAAAAAATTAAAAGCAAAATAACACTTTCAAAACAGCACAGATGTACTTTTCAATAGACAATCCAGGACAGCCCAGCTGCTCTATCTGTAGCCTCTGTTGGGCATTTTACCCACACAGTGAGCAGGAAAGATATCCTAGCTCCAGGGTGAATCCTCCCTGCCCATCAGCCCAAAAGGAGAAGAGGTGAGTGAGGACACCTTAAGTAGTTTTAATTCAGTGAGATTTAATTCCAGGGTGATCTGACCACATAGCTGTCTCTAGCTCCTCTCCTTTGGGAACGGTGCCAAGCAAGGATGCTGTAGCCATGGCAATTGGGAATGGAGGTTGCTGTACAAATCCACTGTGCTGGCACAAAAGCAACTGCAAACAGTCCCACACCAGCTGAGCCACTTACCCTTCTGTGGTATTTTTTGTGCTTGGTATTTGGGTAGTTCCTGTAACAAAAAAGCAGCAGATTCTCAGCGTCAGGCAGAAGTCAGCTGTAGGAGGACACACTCTCCCCTTTTCCCATAACAGAGGGACCCTGTAGGTGTTTTTTCCACTTGTGGAATTCAGTGTCCAGCCTAATGGGCAGGAGCTCTTCCGTGCTTGATGAACACTCAACTCAGAAACACCCAAACCGCTTGCTTTCTCTGGCACTGAACTCTGAATTTCACATTCTTTCTTCCCAAACTTCCAAGACATGAAGCAAAACTCAAGCCTTGAAGCAGACAGTGCTACAAAAAGCATGGCTTTAGCTGAAGACCACCATGGAGAGGACTCAGCCACAGTCTACGTACCACAGCGTCTTGCACCCAGAATCCTGGGGCACCAGCAGCTCAAAGTAAGGCAGTTTTTTGTACTCTTCATTGCCCACTGCCACGTAGTAATCACCATTCACCAGCTCCTCCCCACCAGACACCTGAGTTCCATCCAGCTTGCAGAGCCTGGAGGAAGAGACAGCAAAGGCTTTAGAGCTGTCACAAGACTGTGAACAACCCCTCAGCGTGGAAGCAAACATGTGAAAAGTGTTAAATGGGACCGAGACAAGTCAGAGAGGATCCATCAAGGACATAAGCACCCAGGGACTAGTGAGATGCAGCAGATCTCAGCTTTCTCTTTGAGTGTCAGCAAGTAGATGTCTGAGGAGAAGGCAGGGTGTATTTGTGGGATAAAAGCCCCTCTCTCTAGACTTAAACACCTTTTTATGCCATGCTTTGCTGTTTGAATATTGCTTTTTCACCAGACCACCAGCAACATCAGCCCTCCTCACAAAACACCCAGGACATTGGGGTTCTCTCTGATTTAAAGATGGAAAAACATGAAAAGCAAATGAGATGGCAAAAGGAAAGTAGAAGTGGCAATCTGAACTCCCAGCCCTCTGTGCTCATCAGAGCTGCTTATGCTCTGGATGTAAGGAAAGGGCAGCCAGTGGTGCCTTATCTGGACACCCACTTGTTAACAGCTCCGCTGCTCAGGTCGGCTTTCTCTGTCAGTGTGGCCAGGAGCATGTCCCACTGCAGTGGAGTGCTCTTGGGGAGCAGCAGGGGGAAAGGAGGGCTCAGCAAATCCCCATTCCGGAAAACACTGCGGTAGAAACAACCCAGATGAGCCATTATTCCTGCAGCTGTGGAAGGTGGGGAAAAAAACCCCAGCCACTGGGGCTGGGACAATATTTACAACAAATACTTCTGAGAGAAGCTGGGAATTGTCCCTGTGGGGCAGCATTCCCAGGACCTCCCAGAGTAATTCCCTCTTCCAGCCTCCAAAAACATTCCCAGAGACCTTTCAAGGAGAAAACACCGAGGCACTTACTGTATCGTGCAGGGCTGGTGAGGGTGCTTCTGCCATCGTGCCAAGACATTCGACTTCCAGGGAGCTGCAGTGCAGAACTAGAGACCGAGTTCAGTGCACAAGAACAGCGACAGCCCTGGCACCAAGCCCCAGGGCCCTTCCCTTTCTCCATCAGGCCCTGCCTGCCACACTACCTGCCCTGCCCGCACACTTGCTGCTGCTAGGTGGGGTTTGTTGTCAGCAACACCAAGGCTGGAGAGGCTCTTCACATAGCTGAGCACAGCCCAGAACTGGGGGCAAACCTCTGAGCACAGATCCTTCCCTGCACAGTGAAGGGGGATGAAGGTAACACAGCAGCAGCCCCTGCGCTGTCTCACGTCCTACTGATTCCCGTGGCACTGATCTCCACTGGGCACCTCACAGCCTTACAGCTCAACCTTAGTTTCTTCATTTCCAGCCCTAATGTCTCTCACATCTCCCCTCTCATTCCCCTCCTGCCTCCGCTCAGCTCAGGGACTCACCTGCAGACCCTTACCGGTCCTTGTCCCACGGAGCTCCTTCCTTCCAGGACATAAATAGCTGTGAGAACAAGACAACGTTGCCACAAAGCAACTGGGCCATGGCTGACTAAAGGGCAGTGAGAAATGACTGACTGTTCTCCCTTGGAGCATCACTCCCAGAAGTGTGGATCATTTATTTGGGTCACTTCTGGAACAGTTCTCCAGGTGTCCCACCTCATGGTGTCCCAGAACTTCAGCCTAAATTAAAGTCTGCTACATTTAAGAAATTCCCAGCCAAATACAGACCCTTTCAGATCCTCATACTAAAGACACCCAGAACATTTTATTTCTTTGTGTTACTCTCTGATCAAGGCTCCAAGGGCTGACCAGAGTTAACGCAGCCTGGACCACCTCCTCAACAAAATGCAACACACACACCAGGGAGCCAAATTCACCTGATGCACACACACATCCCCTCGAGAGTCAAGCAATGCCACTAAAACCTCTTTAACCCTCTGTATTTCAGGATGAACCAGAACAGCTCTACTTTGTGCAGGATTAGAAAACAAAACAAAAACCTCCATCAAACCAAAGCAAAAGTATTTGTTGGTGGAGAGTGTGACTGCAGCTGTGCCAGGGAAGCGGGCAGCAGAGCCTCCCACACGCCACAAAACACAGGCAGGAGGCAGAGCAGCACTGATCACACCCTGACAGAGAACACCTGCCTCCCCCCAACAAGTTTTTTTCTGAGAGCCAAGTGACCTTATCAGGAATATTTGCATTTTTCACATGATCTGGAACATGCCCAGTAGTTTACAGTAGGAAAAGAAATTATTCTGTCTCTGTTTTTCCTTGGGTTTGTAAACCTCTTACCTCATTTTTCCATCCACACCCCAGCACGTTCCCTGCAGAGGTGATCTAAAGCTGCTTACCAAACCCAGAGATCAAAGGACCATCTACTCACTTCAGCTTTTTGAACTTTTCAAAGCCCGCAGCCACATACTGGCACCCATCCTGCAGATCCCCCAGCTCAGCGACGCGGTGGCCGTGCCTGGGTGTGTAGAGGTTCCTCACAGCCAAGGGTGCGTGAACGTTTTTGGTCACCTCATTCAGAAACGCCTCAAAGGTCAGGAACTGCCGCTGGTTCACTACAAACCTCCTCCCGGGGAAGAAGGGGTCACCATTGCGATACACCACCACGTTCTTGGCTGGAGGTGCCAGAGCTAAGCCACGGGAGCTCATCCTTCAGGAGTTAAGCAAGCTCCACTGACCACAGAGGCAAACAGACCAACGTGGGACACGGAGAACTCCAGACAGCCTCCCGCCGAGCCCAAACCCTTCCAACCACACCATCTGCTGTCCCTTCCCAGCACAGCCCAGTGCCACTGGCTGTCTCCATGGTTGCAGGCCCAACAGGAGGAAGTTGTGGGCCCGTCTGGAGGCCACATCAATCAATCTGTAGAGCACTTTTCCATTAGAGAACCAGGAACCACACAGCTCTTTAATCCTCAAACACCAAGTACCACACTGAGCTCCCTCACCTGCTACCGCGGCCACCAGGCTCACATTAACCAGCTCAGAGGTCCAGTAAGTGCTGGTGTCTTTATGGCAGCAGCTCACATCCCACCCGGAGCAGCCCTCTCCAGAAGCTCTCACCCCTTTGCCATCGCTTGCTACCTGGTAAGAAACACAATGGGTTTCTGTAATGGACAAACATCCACATCCCAGTGGACTGAACAGGCTGCTGTGGGTTGACATGGGCCATGGACACACTTGGCTCTGCCCAGGAGAGGAAGGTGGGACAGACAGGGACAGACAGATTCAGAGACAAACGTCAAGAAAGCTTTTTATTCCCAAACAAGTCAGCATCGTCAGGAACAAGATACAACTGCCATATGGCAAGAGCGACCATCCAGGCAGCAGGAAAACAGCATCTGCACAGAAGACTCGGCATCACCACAGGGAACCACAGCACCACGTGGAAAGTCCCTTTCTGAGGGCCCTCAAATGCCCCTGAACTAGAGCAACGTACTAAATGCCAAACCCTCTTAAGTCCTTACTTGCTCCCTGAAGCTCCAGTCCAGGTGACTCTGCCACACAGAGGGATTCTACCACGGCCAGAAATGCACAAGTCAGGAACAAAGCCTCATCTCCTGAAGGTCAGGTTTGATGTGCCATCGCTCCACACCAACTGCA